TAGTGACAGAGCGGAAGCTCCTTAAAAGCTGACTACTCATGATTGTTACTGAATCCTGAGGTATAAAACGCTGTGGGTAGCTTCAAGGAGTGAGTAACCAACTTTCTGAACGATATTAAGATCCAACCGGCTGTCAACAAGAAGAAGGCTACATTTAAGAGGTGGCTTAGAAGCAAAGGACCTTCACTGTGAAGTATAACGAACAGTTGTGACTAAGAGAAAGCTGAGTCTGAAGACAAAGCTCTGTATTTAAACTAATTTTTATCCTCATACTCCTATGATAACAGCTTAGGCCATGAATGAGAAAAAGTGATACAGGGTATAAGCGGGTGAAATGGACTTCCTGAGGCAAATCGATTAACTCTGGCATCTCGAAATGGTAGGAAGTACAGATATCTGAGACAGCCTTGGAGTATAGCGCTGTTTTCTCCGACTGAAATGTCACAGCGGCGATGGTTGGTTGAAGCACGTCTTGCCAACGCTTTTATAAAGGAAGGCGGAACAGTCACTATCTGCTCAACCGCAGGGAAGGCAGTGAATGACCTGGCGCAAGTGTCTCGAGACAATTTCTTTGAGACTCTGGTTATCTGCAGCCAAAACTCAAACGCTGGCATAGGATTGAGAACGCTGTAGGTACTTTCTAATGCTATGCCTTCTTGACCCGGAAGGATAAGCGGTTATCAAAGCTGACTGACCATCTAGTAGTTATTGTTATAAACAGTGAAAATATGTTTGCAACCACAAGTTTCTAATGACATGAACGATGATAACGAATGAGCTTCTAGAACAAAATGAACAGAACTGGAGATAACCTTTTTCGGAAATTTCGCGTTTGATCATCTCCAACTCAGATTCAACGTCGACCAAATGCTCTTCCATCGTAGCTAGCTTCTGTTGAAGCATTTCCGCCTTCTCCTCGGCCATTTCTTTATCTAATGTCGCCATCTCTATCATCTCCGCGACGTCTGGTCCCTCCGTCTGAAACTGCTCTCTTGCTTCCATCGCCTCCTTTGCGTCTTTCTTTGCTTGCTGCAGCTGCCGCTGTAACTCCGCGTTCGACTCTGTGATCTTCAACTTAAATTCCTTCAGCTAAAATCTGACCATGTCACGTAAAAGTGTCCATCAATTAGTCGTTTCTGTAACCTGCTGAAGTTGAATTTTGCACTTTTCGAATTCCACGAACTTTTGTTTATCCTCCTGGCGCTTGATGCGCAGCGTTTCGAGCTTACTGGTCAGATCTCGTACTTCGTTGCGCAAATATTCCAGTTCGACTGATTCTGACATGTTGCTTGGTGGTAACCAAGCACCTGATTCCGCTGCGGTTCTTTCAATATCCTACAATATATCCGCATGTTCATCAATATCATAATCAATAATTGCATTCTAAATTATAAATCTGACATTAAAATAAAACCGATCGTTGCGCAGCACATTCTACAGTGCAAGGATTAGCCGTTGCAAACCAAATAACCGACTGGAAAGACGATAAAATCACCCACCTCAAAATAGCAAATGTACTGAATATGCGCGTTAATCTGTGAAACTTGACTAAATAAAGCTGTATCTTAAGGACTGATTTGCTTTCTTTTAATTTTAACTTAAAATTTCATAAATTTCAATTAATTTCATCAATTTTCAACCGCATAGGCGAAAATTTACATAGGAATTCAGTGCGTGATTATAATCAAAGAAACATCACAATCTCTCGTCCTAACTAACGGTTTGGTGGCGCATAACAATGGCATCTGGATTCGATTAGAAAGCGAAATACGACTTAGCAAATGTACTAACTTCATCAGTTATGGTATTCATGATAGAGCATTATAAAGCCAGAAACGATTAGCCAATCATACAGTAGTTGATTACAAATCAGTTCATGCAAGTCTGTCTTGGTGATCTAGCTAAAGATCAGATTCAAAGGTAGGCTGATACAACGCATGTTCCTCATTAGGATAAAAATATCAATTTTTCACCAGTCTGTCTGCCCATTGCACACATAATGATGAGAATGGGTAGTAACTGAATCTCTTCATGCTGTAGGCACAACCAGAGTATACACCAGTGATTCATCATCAAAATGCCGCGCACTCAGTTCCTTCAATGTCTTCACTTTAGAACATAAAAATGAACTCTTGCCTCCAGCTGGGCCACTTTTTCAGATACGAACGACTTTGGCAGATCGCCTGAAGTGTCAACAGGCGAAACGACGTCTGAAGATATAGTGCTTCGTACAGAAACGTTCTCGTTGCTCGAACTTCCGCCGCTAACTTCCACCAAACTTTCTTTTAATTTTTCTGACGATGAGGTAAGTTTCAAAGAAACGGCTGATTTCTAAAAAAACATTTGCATTATTCTATTTATTGGTGCATTAGAAAAATAATTTGTCAGCTCTTACCGACGGACGTCGAAGCATGCTGTGCTGCTCATGTCCTTCATCTTCTAAAGAAATTTTGGGTACAAAAATAATTTATGACCAAATTATCAACATAATCCTTTTTTGTGCAACGGTGCTTACGTTGCATTTTTAGGCACTCTTCTTAACCTCTTTACAATTCGACTGCGCGCCTTTCACTATATCTCTTCATTGACGGTTAGCTGTTAATTTCCATGCGCAGATAATAAGGAGGAGCGCATTACATTTTTTTAATCATATACTTCTGGTTTTAACTCCCTGGAACTTCACGTGCATTATCTTCAAAAATCATGGAGTGGCGTAACACAGTAGTCCAAAAATGGTGGTCACATCAACCATGAAAAATGCATTAAAACATTAAATTTGGATGTAACCAGCATAATACAAAAAACAGCTGAATAGATATTGATGATAACATACGTGCCGAGTATGTTCACTCAGTCACTGGTCTTAGACAGATGACCATCGGGAATACAGAGTGTTCAATTTATGAGATAATTAATCATTAGAGTACAGAGGGCTTTGCGTTAAGCGATCAGGCTGCATACGCCTTTCTCAAAGTAAACGGAATCGCGCTCTTTGAAAAAACAGCATAACTTAATTTGCAAGCTTTACCTAAGATGCAATTGGCGGAGAGGATGGACAGGTGCAATTGGCTGCAATTTAATTCCAACCTAATATTTGCTTAATGGATTTCAGTCAACCTTTACTCCTGATAAAGTTGATAAGCTGCATCGCCTTTAAGTTAAACTTGAAAGTGTACCTCAACGCACAGATTTAGCCTATAACTCGCGGAAATACAGATTTCGAGGGACTGAACAAGGAAACGTCCTTATTATGCAACCATCATTTCAAGAAAACAGTGGCATTAAACGTGATAGAAATTTTCTAATCATTCTGATGTTTCGGTTTCTGAAACAAAAGCTATCATTTCTCCCGTTGTTCAGGAACAATAATAAATGAATAAAATGATCGTAAACAGTCAGAGTCACTGTTGTGCTGAAAATATGCTCAATTTAAATTTTTCATTTGCGTATTTTGAAAATGTGCTTCTCAGGATACTCGCTAACTATAATTACCACGGCTTCAGTGTGTAGTAAATTATATCCGCCATCATTCATTAATCCAGTAACTTACCTTTGTTTAATAACTTGCCGTAACTGCGCGGTTTGCGTAAAGCGGAAATTTTCATCGGTATCTTGCTGCGATCCGCAGAAGTACTGTCTGCTGATGACGAACCGCTGCCATCCAGTACAACAACCTGACAAAACTAGTTACCTCGTTCAACAGAAAACCAAAAGAATACCTGCGAGGGTCGGACAAAGATTCCATGGTTTTCCTCGCATCGAAAGTACTCCTTACCTTGAACGGTACCGTTGTTTTTACCCTTCGGCTTATCCAGTATCACGCCGATCCACTTTCCTGGGGAAAATGCTGTCATACCCACGTACGCAACGACACCCTTCGCTCCTTTCTCTGAGAGAAAAAGTCAGCTGTCAGTCAGCTGTAGGCAAACTATCGTCATCTACCATTGCAAAATACATACCTGGTACCTCCACAACA